ACCATTCCATCACATCTCATGACTGCTTACTTTGCGCGCGAGTCTTTGGAGGGGGTCTTTGTCAACTGGGCGGACCCTGGCTTATGCTGCCTCCCTATTTCCCCGGATATGTCTGGCCTTTTGGCAATTCCCCCCGGACGGGGATTTGAGTACCAAAAAGCCGGACATGTCCGGGGAAATCCGGACGTATGGTAACCCTAGCAATACAGTAAATTTGTGTAATGACACTAACACTTTGTTATGAAGAGAGACAGTAATTCTGGGCTAGGCAGCATTGCAAGCGGTGTTCCGTTTATTCGCCTCGGTGAGATCCAAATAAAAAGGGACCCGCTCGCTACAATATTGACCTCCCGTGGTTCGGCAAATTCTCTGGTTCGGCACCGGTCAGGTCCCAAGGGTGCTGGACCTGTACTTGTACCACCCCTGAAATCCTTACTCAGCAAAAATTAATGGGAGTTTGCCCAAGTAACAACTTTGTGAACAAGACTCAGGCCTTCAGGCATTTGCTGCAGGTCTTCCTAAAATTCTGGAACACTTCAGCCCCAGAACTGGATCCAAACTTCACTGCTGGCTCTGATCGTTATAACAGGCCCGATATAAACCCTGACCACCCCAGAGAGTTCTGACCCAGTTCATACTCTGCAACTTGGCCCCAGCTCTAGCCAAAACCTGGACAATGAAGTGCTAGAAAGCAACTCATGCAGGGGCGTGGCCAGCTCTAGGTGTGACGCAGCTGTGTGCACATGGCCACACAAATAGCAGCAGCAGCTGCTGGTCAGACTATGTGAAATGAAGTCAACTGACCATTGGTAAAAACAACTGACCCCTCCAAACACTTTAAAACAGGTGTGAAAATTACAGGCAATGATTTCTGCTGAGAGAGAAGGTCAGTTAATACTAGGGCCGATGTTTAAAGTGGATGGATTTTTGACTCTGGAAATCTTTCGGCCTGTGACAAACTGGAGGCTCTACCCAGTTAATCCCCAAAGGAATGCTGCAAACCTGTAGCAGATTAAGGGTCTGATCCAATTCCTAATGAAGCTTTCTATTGACTAATGGAAAGCTGGATTGGTCGTTATTCACTAGAGGTTGCAACAGTCCCTGGGAGGTGGGAGATTCCTGTTCCGGTCCTTGTGCAGAGGAGGGATTGGAACTGGAACTGGGATCTCCCACAGCTTGGGCAGGTAGCCAGGCACAGGGGACAGAAAAGTGATTGGCATTTTATTAAAAGGGCCCAGAGATGGAGGATCCCTGTTCAAAATCCTTTCCCTCAGCAGGCACAAAGGGGAGTTGACCAAGGAGATCCAGCATCCCAGGTGAGCACCCTAACCACTATACTATAGACACGGCTGGCTCCAGGCACCAACGAAAGAAGCAGGTGCTTGGGGCGGCCAATACAAAGGGGCGGCACTCAGTCCGCTACTAGGGCAGCACATCCGGGTCTTCGGCGGCAGGTCCCTCAGTCCCTCTCTTCCTCTTTGAGCTGCTGCCGAAGAGGAAGAGAGGGAGTGAAGGACCCGCCACCGAAGAATGGAGTGGCACGACTGAGCTGCAGCCGAAGTGCTGCCGATTGGCTTTTTTTTTCCCCCGCCGCTTGGGGCAGCAGAAAACCTGGAGCTGGCCCTGACTATAGAGGGGTTCACATGCTTAGCCCAATCAATGGTTAATTAGAATGGAACAGCTTCAACAGGACAGCCTGCGAGCGCTTGCTGTTTCAATCACTTCTCCTCAGGCCCACGCAAGACCTGAACTCAAGTCTCTAACACCGTAGGGACTTACCCTAGCAAATGGGCTACAGAGGACTTCTAAGGCTTAGGCCCAATTAATAGTTAGTTAAAGTGGAACAGTGTCAACAGAAAAGCCAGGGCAGAGTGAGAAGAGCATTATACAAGCTCTAGCAGGTAATGGTGCAGTGCTTGGGTGCTGCTCATGAAGTCTGCCCGCCCATTCTGCGCTTCCCGTCACTTTTCTCTGTGTGCCTTCTCCACAGCTCCAAATGCTTCTCTGACTGTCTGAGCTTTCTCCAAAACGAGTCTCATCTCATCTTCTGGGAGAACCTCATTGCTCCTGCAGGCGCCAAGTGCCAGCCAGTTCAAGCAATTCTCTGCCTCGTTTATAAGTTTGTGGATTCTACTGCCATGGTTATATGCTTTCCTCAGAGCCTGGCTGATGACTGAAGTACCAAGTGGATGGTGCACTGGACTGTGACTCAGGAGACCTGGGTTTGATTCCTGACTCTAGCATTAGCCTGCAGGTTGACCTTGCCTCAGTTTCCCCACCTGTAAAATTAGGATAATGCTCCTGGCTTTCTTTATCAAGCACTTTCTATGAGTATCGTTAATAATAACAATAATGCTGGGAACCCAGAGCTATAGCACCTGATTGAATAAGAGGTACATGGGATTCATAACAACATCACTGATATTTAGGGCTGGGATTTTCAATGGAAGTTAGGTGCCCAAATTCCTATTGAATTTCAATGGGATGTAGGTTCCTAACTCCCTTAGGATATGTCTACGCTGCAGCTGGGAGGTGTGACTCCCAGCATGGGTAGATAGACTCACACACAAAATAGGTTTCAGAGTAGCAGCCGTGTTAGTCTGTATCCGCAAAAAGAAGAACAGGAGTACTTGTGGCACCTTAGAGACTAACAAATTTATTAGAGCATAAGCTTTAGCAGTGCAGAGGTTGCAGCATGGGCAGTGGCTCAGGCTAGCTGCCAGAGTCCAAACCCACCTGAGCCTTGGATCTGAGCTCAGGTGGCTTGCCTGAGCCGCAGCCCCTGCCACAACATCCACACTGCTAGCATTCGCAGCTCCAGCAGAACTAGTGCGAGTCTGCCTACCAGGGCATAGGCTCCCATGCAAGCCCCAGCCTAGATGTAGAGGGGTCCTCCCTGAGAAGTTACCATCTTGTGGTGACAAATGGGAAGTGCTATCGGAGATTCAGCAGTAATCTCCCATAACAAACATCAGGGTCTTCTCAGCCCCTACAATGTGATAGTACCTGGTGACCGCTGGTCCTTTAACAGTGGTCACTGAACAGCATTGCAACAGGGATGCAGTTGTTCTGGGCCCAATGGGCACGTGCACATGTTGGCTGCATAGAATCATAGAATATCAGGGTTGGAAGGGACCTCAGGAGGTCATCTAGTCCAACCCCCTGCTCAAAGCAGGACCAATTCCCAACTAAATCATTCCAGCCAGGGCTTTGTTAAGCCGGGCCTTAAAAACCAGTAAGGATGGAGATTCCACCACCTCCCTAGGTAACCCATTCCAGTGCTTCACCACCCTCCT